TGAAATGCAAAAACCTACTAGACACAGGAAAAATCTCAACCACTCTCAAATTCTTTAATATTCATGGTTTGGGGATCAATATCTTACTTAAGAATGCGACACGAAGTTTCATATCAAGATTTATCTTTTAATTGTGAAATAAAAAATATTACAAAAATGATGGACTACATATCTTATTAATAACATCGTTTTTACCACATTTTATTCAAAAAGAATATATGAAATATTTGATACGAAACTTTATAATGGAGTCACAAGAAACGTATCACCAAAACATGAATATTAAGGTTAATTAAAGCTATAATCCTGTTTTTACATTTCAGGATGACCGGATACAAACATAACCGACATACTCTGTACATTCATTTCATATTGCAATTAGTTTTTCTATAATTCTGTCAATATTTTCAAAACTGTTTATGTTATTTTATGAGGACTGGTACAATGGACCCGAGTACTAATAAGCTTCAGCTCTAATTGGCCCCAGCCTCATCTAACAATAGGATTGAGGCCTATAAGTACTTTATCCTGTTAAAATTGGGGCTTAATAGGAGTGAAGCCTATTAGTATTGGGACGCATTTGAACTTCAGCCATTTGTTTCTTTGTACCTGGAGAACTTTGGCATAAATATATTTGGTGAACTTAAGATACAAGTTACGACAGAGAGGAGCCCAATATGGTGCCAACATAACACACAAGACTACCGTAAATAGAAGCCAGATACGTTTTCATATCCACCACCATCTTTTGGGGTAATTATTAACGAATCAGCCTCTCTGCCTGCTTGACCTTTATGCAGAACGTGATGTGTGAAAATGTTTTATGGTCTCCTTCCACAAATATGGAATGTATGTATTTTCTTATATGTCAAATTAAGTAAAAGTGATAACTAATGAAGTAGTTACACAGTGAATAACAACAAAAACATTAATAATAAAATTAATAATACTATCTAGCCATAAAATTTGGGACATTACTAGACTTTAAATAGCCTGGAACAAGACTTTTAAGAACAAGGGGGAAGTTCCTACAGAGGTCATCATCAGCCTCCTCTTTCCCTTACAACCACACCTCTAGTTGTATTTATGTTATTTAGGAAGGCAGGTGATAAAAACAATACTATTATTCTATCACTGTTGTTACTACTTTAATAACTATCTCTGCCAACCATTATTTTAATACTGAACTGTATTTGTCATGCCTTTTTTGTAGTTTTTCCCGTGATTTGGACTAGAATGTTTGTTCTCAACCAGAAAATAAAAATTCGTCAGGGGGAACAAGGAAGTGACGTGACTTATGCCTCAAGCGATTCAAAAACATCGAGCCATTTCAAGCTTTAATTGGAACGAACTACTGTTGCTGGTACAATCGCTGAATGGTTCACTCCTACTAAATCACGCATAATCCATAGTTTTATTCTAATCATTGAAACGTGTGCAAGCACGTGAGGCCGTGACCTTCCAGCCGCTTCTAAAGTAACTTCAGAGTAGTTTTTCCCCGTTCCCCCAATGTACTTGCATTCTATACATTAGCTAAAACAAACGTTTCAGTCACAGTCTCTAAGAAAACAAACTATTATTAAAGGTGCAAAAATTAACTTTATAATACTGTATTGGTGTTAGTAGTGCAGTAATAGTAGTGATAAAAAATACAGTAGAAATAATATTATATATAATAAAACACAGGTAACTCTGAACTCTGAACTATAAGGAACTTTGGCATAGTAAGGAATATACAGTATTTAGGATGAAGAGTTCCGAACCACTGATATCACCTATACCCTCCTCCCGCTATCCCTGGCAACCCAATATATCAAGATTCTCAAATTTATTAAGTTATTTTTTCCTCTGTAAAGGAAGAATGAAGAACACGCCGAGTTACTGTTCACCGTTGTACCTCGAGGCAATATCCGATTCCAATTCTATCCTCAGCTTTGTGTCATGGCTGAAATGGGCTCATTAGATGCGTTCTTACATCACCATTTACGGGACAAAGGCTGTGTACGAGGCTTGAGAATTAGGACCATGTCTCAGAATTTGTCCATAAATAATTTAGATCGCTAGATTCAGATTTTTTCAAGTTCGTACGTTTAAGTTTGAGAATACATCTACCAGATTCACTAAGTTACAGCACAAGATGATGTCCAAAATGGTGTTAATACTGCAATCAGGCTTATGGATTTATTTGGGTTCTTTCATCCATGGCTAGCAGAAATAATCTGACGCATGAGTTACTGAAATTATACAACATGCCTTTTTAGCCCTGAAAATGTGGGATACATACTCCAGCTTACAGTGTTCCCAGAAACGCACAGCAGGCAGGAACCCAGCTTTGTCCTAAGGGGAAACTGCTGCCGCCGTTTTGGGATGATTAAAATGATAACTAACGTTGGCAGTAAAGAGGCAGTGTTCAATAAACTGTCGCGTGGTCGACTCCAGGTTTCCTAAATAGAAGAATTCATTCGTGGACAATGAATGGCCAGCATAAATGGACGTCAACATTGTGTTCTCTTATATTAGGTTGCAGGATTAAAAAAAAAGATAACATCCTGCCGTTAGCTGGGGCACCAACCTCGTCAGATGAGGCATCGTATACTATAGTCACGTACACACACTATTGGGATTCATTAAGATTAGAGTTTATTGAGATCCATTATGACAGGGGTCCAAATAGGACTATAGGCTCCAATCCTAACAGCTACGTTAAGATGGCCCCCCTAATAGGACTCGGTTCCAATTTTAATGGTTAGGTCAGAATGGATCCTGTTAAGCATGGGGTGTATTTGACCAATTACATAATGCACTGATGTTCTGCTCGTCAACTGAACTCCACTACCAAGTCTGTAGTCTTACCATTTCATCTGTACAGTATTCTGTGCATTGTGTGTATTCCTTATAGTCCTTTAGGTACGTTCAGTGTAATAGTACTGCTATAGTAATAGGCCCTGCGTTTGTTGATGACGAGTAAACATTTGACATCTCCTCTGCCAAATTCTTAAAAATATCTAAAATCACGTCATATAAATATTTTGGACACTTTTAGGTGTAGTTATTAAGACTTCTGGTAAAAATCTTAGAGCCATAATATAAGATGCGATGGTCAATGTTCTATATCATATACCTAAGGATTTTATAGTCAGTTTAATATAGTGATCAATATATATATATATATATATATATATATATATATATATATATATATATATATATATATATATATATATATATATTTATATATATATATATATATATATATAAAAAAAAAAAAAAAAAAAGGTTTCCTATTAAGTATAGTCTATTGAATGTACGTGTTTTGGCGCCACGTACAGGGTGACGGCTGTTGTTACTACAGCTTTGTTTGCGTCGCAACAAAAAAAACTGAATTATGTGAATCAATGACGAAACAAAGTTATATGTTATCTATGTATTCATTATTTGCTCGTAAAAAAAGTTTCAAGTATTTATGTCCCAGATTCGATGCTAATGTTTAAACCGATCCCGTCAGCACTTAAATCTTTTTACGGGTGAATTAATATTAAAACATATAAATAAAAATTTATTTTGTCAACAAAAAATAGGACACTAATAATTTCTCTAACAGATGATACATAAATTCATTGATCTTGTAATTTTCATAAACGGTGTATAATTTCGCTCCCACGCATTAATTAAGCAGCATCAGTCACGCTGTCAAAAAAGACTAGCATAAAATGGCACCATTTGTGTAGTGACTAATCTCTTGGCATGGAGTATGTGACTCGACTGAGTTAACTGGCGCTATTACAATGACGGGGCCAATTATAGTCTGTGAAGTGATACGGAGCTAATTACGCTGTAGACCTGTGACTGGCGTTAAGTAATTGGCGCCAATTTACACAGTCTGTGAGGTGATGGGCTCAGGGTTGCGGGGGTTGACGCTCTCCATGGAGGCGTCACGGCCGAGGATATCCACGACCCTGGTGGGGGAGGCTGGCGACCACCCTTGAGCGCACACAACACCTCTCCCGCACAGTCACTCGCGCTCTGTAGATCAACCACACCACGCCCTGTATGTGAGGAAAATAATGTTAGTGATCCAAGCCCTCTACTAAAAAACAAAACAATCGCAAACTAATATCTTTGTTTTAATATTATGGTCTTCAGTCATAAAAGTTATTAACACCAGACCATAATTTAAATGCAAGAGGAATGCCATTCTTATTTTTCCATGACGAAAAAACAAAAACATATTTTTTTTAGTTAAACAATAGTCGGAATGTTATCCTACGACGAGTCTGTTATAGTGCCAGATGTACGACTCGCTGCCTCACTTGTAAACAAAACATACCTGCATCAACGGACTGAAGGCGGCGCAGCAGAAGACGAAAGGGAGAGTGACACCCAAATTATCCCAGTCCACTATAGGGTAGATGGCACTCTCTCCGTCAGGTGTTTTTCCTCCCGCCGCCCAGTAGATGAGCGTGAAGAGGAGGTAGATGACCAGGAAACAGAAAGGAAGTGCAGGATCCGGAGGGGAGAGGCCACCACCCACAGGTCGATCATTACGTACACAGAGTTGATGATGTGAACCTGCTGTGATGGGGATGCTGTGAATTGAGGCTGTGATAAAGATGGGGTATGCTGTAGGGGAGGAGAGGTAGGTTGAGGCTGTGATGGGGTATGCTGTAGGGGAGGAGAGGCAGGTTGAGTGCTGTGATGGGGATGTGCTGTAGGGGAGGAGAGGTAGGTTGAGTGCTGTGATGGGGCATGCTGTAGGGGAGGAGAGGTAGGTTGAGTGCTGTGATGGGGTATGCTGTAGGGGGAGGAGAGGTAGGTTGAGTGCTGTGATGGGGTATGCTGTAGGGGAGGAGAGGTAGGTTGAGTGCTGTGATGGGGTATGCTGTAGGGGAGGAGAGGTAGGTTGAGTGCTGTGATGGGGTGTAGGGGAGGAGAGGTAGGTGAGTGCTGTGATGGGGCATGCTGTAGGGGGAGAGGTAGGTTGAGTGCTGTGATGGGGTATGCTAGAGGAGAGGTAGATTGAGTGCTGTGATGGGGATGCTGTAGGGGAGAGAGGTAGGTTGAGTGCTGTGATGGGGTATGCTGTAGGGGGAGGAGAGGTAGGTTGAGTGCTGTGATGGGGCATGCTGTAGGGGAGGAGAGGTAGGTGAGTGCTGTGATGGGGTATGCTGTAGGAGGAGAGGTAGGTTGAGTGCTGTGATGGGTATGCTGTAGGGGAGGAGAGGTAGGTTGAGTGCTGTGATGGGGTATGCTGTAGGGGAGGAGAGGAGGTTGAGTGCTGTGATGGGGTAGTGCTGTAGGGGGAGGAGAGGTAGGTTGAGTGCTGTGATGGGGTATGCTGTAGGGGGAGAGAGGTAGGTTGAGTGCTGTGATGGGGCATGCAGGGGAGGAGAGGTAGGTTGAGTGCTGTGATGGGGTATGCTAGGGGGAGGAGAGGTAGGTTGAGTGCTGTGATGGGGTATGCTGTAGGGGGAGGAGAGGTAGGTTGAGTGCTGTGATGGGGTGAGAGAAACTGAGAGAGAGAGAGTGAAGGGGTCAAAGATAAGGGAATGAATAGTAAAGGGGGGACAAAAAAGGGGGGGTACTGGATGGGGAGAGAGAGAGAGAGACTCACCTGGGTTGTATATGGCACTCCAATAAGCTGCAGATGAGAAGGGCAGGAGGGAAAACAATATTCTGCAGCACCCACAACACCTGCCGAAACAACACCTGTTATACACACACGTCATCACAACACCTGATTTACACCTGTCATAACACCAGTTGTACACCTGTCAATACATTTTACACCGGTGAATACAACTTACACACCTGTCAATTAAACACCTGTTACTATACCTGCCATGTCACATGTCACTTACAACCTTGAAAATATATTACACGATACACCTACAGTCGTTCCTTCTGTTCTGTAAAATTCTCCTTCCCCTCTCCTCCCCATTTCCCCATCCTTCTTTCTTCCCCCATTCTTCACCCTCCTCTTCTTCCCTATCCTTGTCCCATTCCCCACCCTTCTCTCCTCCCTTTCATTCTTATCTCATTCACCATTCTTCTATCCTTCCCCTTCCCATATGAAGCAGAGAGGGTGAGGAGACAGGAAAGAGGCATGGAAGAGAGAAGAGACGAAACATCAGAGAGGAGAGGAGAAGAGAGGAGGAGAGGAGAGGAAAAGTGAAGATAAATGAAGAAGGTAAATCAAAGAAAAGGAGGAGGCAATGAAAGTGACAGGGAGGAAGATGGAGGAATGAGAGAGGCAGGGAAGAGGAGGAAAGGAGGTAGGGAGATGAGAAGGGGATAGGGGAGGGAAGGAGATAGGGGAGGGAAGGAGATAGGGGAGGAGAGGAGATAGGGGGATGAGAAGGAGATAGGGAGGGAAGGAGATAGGGGGAGGAAGGGAGATAGAGGGAAGGAGATAGGGGGAAGGGAGAAGGGGGGGAGGGAAGGAGATAGGGGAGGAAGGAGATAGGGGAGGGAAGGAGATAGGGGAGGGAAGGAGATAGAGGAAGGAGATAGGGGGAAGGAGATAAGGAGATGGGGGAGGAAGGAGATAGGGGAGGAAGGAGACAGGGGAGAGGGAAGGAGAAGGAGGGAAGGAGATGGGGAGGGAAGGAGAGAGGGAGGGAAGGAGGAGGAAGGAGGGGAGGAAGGAGATAGGGGAGGGAAGGAGATAGGGGAGGAAGGAGATAGGGGGAGGAAGGAGATAGGGGAGGAAGGAGATAGGGGAGGAAGGAGATAGGGGAGGGAAGAGATAGGGGAGGGAAGGAGATAGGGGAAGGAGATAGGGGAGGGAAGGAGATAGGGGAGGGAAGGAGATAGGGGAGGAAGGAGATAGGGGAGGGAAGGAGATAGGGGAAGGAGATAGGGGAGGGAAGGAGATAGGGGGAGGGAAGGGAGGAGGGGGGGAGAGAAGGAGATAGGGGAAGGAGATAGGGGAGGGAAGGAGGTAGGGGATGAGAGGGGGAGGAAGGAGATAGGGGAGGGAAGAGATAGAGGGAGGGGAAGGAGATAGGGGAGGGAAGAGATGGGGAGGGGAAGGAGATAGGGGAGGGAAGGAGGTAGGGGAGAGAAGGAGATAGGGGGAAGGAGATAGGGAGGGAAGGAGGTAGGGGGATGAGAAGGAGATTGGGGGAGGGAAGGAGATAGGGGAGGAAGGAGATGGGGGGAGGGGGGAAAGATGGGGGAGGGAAGGAAGAGATAGGGGAGGAAGGGAGATAGAGGGAAAGAGGTGGGGGAGAAGGATAGGGGGGAAGGAGATAGGGGAGGGAAGGAGGTAGGGGGGAGAGAAGGAGATAGGGAGGAAGGAAGATAGGGGAGGAAGGAGATAGAGGGAGGAAGGAGATAGAGGAAGGAGATTGGGGGAGGAAGGAGATTGGGGAGGGAAGGAGATAGGGGAAGGAGAATGGGGAGGGAAGGAGAGGGGAAGGAAGCAGAGGAGGAGAAGGGAGATAGGGGAGAGAAGGAGATAGGGGAAGGAGATAGGGGGGAAGGAGATAGGGGAAGGAGATAGGGGGAGGAAGGAGATAGGGGAGGAAGGAGATAGGGAGGGAAGGAGATAGGGGAGGGAAGGAGATAGGGGGAGGAAGAGGAGATAGGGGGGATGAGAAGGAGATAGGGGAGGGAAGGAGATAGGGAGGGAAGGAGATAGGGAGGGAAGGGATAGGGGAGGGAAGAGAGGGGGATGAGAAGGAGAGAAGGGGAGGGAAGGAGATAGGGGGAGGGAAGGAGATAGGGGAGGGAAGGAGATAGGGGGGATGAGAAGGAGATAGGGGAGGAAGGAGATAGGGGGGAGGGAAGGGAGATAGGGGAGGGAAGATAGGGGAGGAAGGAGATAGGGGAGGAAAGAGATAGGGAGGAAGGAGATAGGGGAGGGAAGGAGATAGGGGAGGGAAGGAGATAGGGAGGAAGGAGATAGGGGAGGGAAGGAGATAGGGAGGGAAGGAGATAGGGGGAAGGAGATAGGGGGGGAAAGGGAGGGGGAGGGAAGGAGATGGGAGGGAAGGAGATAGGGGGAAGAGATAGGGGAGGAGAGGAGATAGGGGGAGAGAAGGAGATAGGGAAGGAAGGAGATAGGGGAAAGAGAGGAGGGAAGAGATAGGGGGGATGAGAAGGAGATAGGGGGAGGAAAGGAGATAGGGGGAGGGAAGGAGATAGAGGGAAGGAGATAGGGGAGGGAAGGAGAGAGAGGAGGAGAGGAGAGGGGGAGGAAGGGAGATAGGGGAGGAAGGAGATAGGGGGGATGAGAAGGAGATAGGGGAGGAGAGGAGATAGAGGGAAGGAGATAGAGGGAAGGAGATAGGGAGGGAAGGGAGAGGGGGGAGGGAAGGAGATAGGGGAGGGAAGGGGAGATAGGGGAGGGAAGGAGATAGGGGAGGGAAGGAGATAGGGGGATGAGGAGATAGGGGAGGGAAGGAGATAGGGGAGGAAAGGAGATAGGAGGGGGAAGGGAGGAAGGAGATAGGGGAGGGAATAGGAGGGAAGGAGAGAAGAGAGAGGGAAGGGAGATAGGGGATGACAAGAGATAGGGAGGAAGGAGATAGGGGAGGAAGGAGATAGGGAGGGAAGAGATAGGGAGGAAGGAGATAGAGGAAGGAGATAGGGGGATGGAGAAGGAGATAGGGGAGGAAAGGAGATAGGGGAGGAAGAGATAGGGGGAGGGAAGGAGATAGAGGGAAGGAGATAGGGGATGAGAAGGGAGGATAGGGGGAGGAAAGGAGATAGGGAGGGAAGGAGATAGGGGATGAGAAGAGATAGGGAGAGAGAGATAGGGGGGAGAGAAGGAGATAGGGGAGGGAAGGGAGATAGGGAGGAAGGAGATAGGGGAGGAAGGAGATAGGGGGGAGAAGGAGACAGGGGAGGGAAGGAGATAGGGGGAGAGGGGAGATAGGGGAGGAAAAGGGTAGGGAGGGAAGGAGATAGAGGGAAGGAGATAGGGAGGGAAGGGAGATAGGGGAGGGAAGGAGATAGGGGAGGAGAGGGAGATAGGGGAGGGAAGGAGATAGGGGAGGGAAGGAGATAGGGAGGGAAGGAGATAGGGGAGGAAGGGAGATAGGGGGGAGGAAAGGAGATAGGGGGGAGGGAAGGAGATAGGGGAGGAAGGAGATAGGGGAGGGAAGGAGATAGGGGGGAGGAAAGGGAGATAGGGGAGGGAAGGAGATAGGGGGGAAGGAAGATAGGGGAGGGGAAGGAGATAGGGGAGGAAAGGAGATAGGGGGGAGGGAAGGAGATAGGGGAGGGAAGGAGATAGGGGAGGAAGGAGAGGGAGAAAGGAGATAGGGGAGGAAGGAGATAGGGAGGGAAGGGAGATAGGGAGGAAGGAGATAGGGAGGGAAGGAGATAGGGGAGGGAAGGAGATAGGGGAGGAAGGGAGATAGGGGGAGGGAAGGAGATAGGGGAGGAAAGGAGATAGGGGAAGGAGATAGGGGAGGGAAGGAGATAGGGAAAGAAGTAGTTAAGAGGGAGGGAAGTAGGTAAGAGGGAGGAGGAAGGACAGGAGGGAAAGGGGAAGAGAGGGGAAACTGTGGACACCAAGGAAGTAATTATTGGACACGGCTGAGACACCTGTGGCGCCTCTCACACTTGTTGCCTCCGTCAAGGTGTTGTCAAGGTAATTTACTCACTGTGGTAAAAGTTGTCATAAACGGTGTACTGTCTCCACTGTCATTTATTTACATCTACTGTCTAGGAATTTATGTTTATGAACCCCTTAGAACATTAATTTGGGACAGGTAATTTTGTTTATGAATTTTAAGTGATGTATTTCAGCTCGCGAGTGTATTGCCAAGGTGGTTGTTTTATCAAGATATTGTCAGGTAATATTATTCAATTATCGGACATCTCTCAAGGTACAGTAGGTAACAAGAACACTGTGAATAGATGTAAATATTAGTTTCTTGAAGGCTAATGAATTTAACATAAAAGGTCAACTTCGACTACGGACCTGTGTATAATAGTTTACTTTATCAATACAATATTTACTTGTCTCCCTCTCTGTCTGTCTCTCTTTCCTGTTAATTACTATGTATACCCACAAGTCTAATCTTTTATCTTTACTACATCAGTTCGTGTTAACTTCATCATCGTCACATTCTTCTCCCCCCATTCCACCTCCTTTCATCAGCTTCCCTTTATACCAGACACCTTTACTGTGCTTCTCTCATGATCTCTAGTCTGACCATTCCGACACACTTATGGCTTCACACCTGTCTCCCGTTGGCTTAAAGGGAGCGCAGGTATACAAGCGTTCTCACATCTCCAGGTAGGAGGTAGGGAAGGAAGGAAATTTCAACACACGAGAATCCTTTAAAATAATCCTGGACTTGAACAGCTGCACAGTCCTACACCACCACCACAACTACTACCTCCACGAGGGATCAAAACATGTGTGGTGGTCATTCACACCCTCACCATTGCTATAATCACCTGTGTGAAGTGTGTGTGTGTGCGTGTGTGTGAGAGTACCGGACAGGTAATGTGGTCGTACCCCTCCACCTGGACAAGCAGTTAGGTATTACACATATTATTTTAGTTTTCCTTCAATAATTCTATGATTAAAACATTTTCTATAATTGTGTGAAAATTTGTCTTAATGTTTGATGTGTTGTGTTGCTGTGTTACCTTTAACTGTGGTTGTATTACCTTTAACTGTGTTGCTGTGTTACCTTATTGCAGTTACTTTATTGTTGTGTTACCTTGTAGCTGTGTTAGCTTGAACTGTGTTGCTGTGTTACCTTGAGCTGTGTTGTGGTGGTCTTGGGCAGCTGCACCGTCCGCCTGTACCGCAACCAGCTGCTCGTCATTATACACGCATGTACCACGTTCATGATCTGTCGGCGACAGGTACAGGTAAAGTGGTTACAGGTACCGGTTAAGTGGTTATAGGTACCGGTAAACTGGTTACAGGTACCGGTAAACAAGTTAAAAAATCAAGTACAGGTTACAGGTTGAAAATATAGGTAAGAGGCACGATGATCAGCATAAATTTAAAGAGTAATCGTATACCTTAAGAGTCTCAGAAGAACAACAATGAATCTGATCACATATGAAGCTTGGAAACTTTTCGAGGTTTTCATTTATCAATATATATATGCTCTCTCTCTCTCTACACCTCAGGGATCCCTACAACACCTCACCTTTAGTCAGCTGCCTTATTATGTTACTTTATCATTATTTTCGTCACTACTTGAGGTTGAAGGTGTAGCTTAATTAAAAAAAAGAGAGAGATGGAGGGAGAGAGAGAGAAAAAAAATATTTCCCATTGAGATTATAAAGTTTGACCATTACCGAGCTTGAGTAAATGGGGAGGGGGCACACACACACACACACACGCACACGCGCACACACACACACACACAGGACCTTGAATACAAAGGTCGATTTACAACGTGAGGCACACAATCTACCCACCGCTATGCTGAGGTAGGCCCAGTTGGTGAGGTAGATGAAGTGGTAGGCTTTCCGTTGGATGGTGGCGTCGAGGTTACCTTCAAAGGCTAGGTTCGCCGCCCACCAGGAGACGTGGTATAGCGCCCATACCCACCTGTACACCACATACCACACCTTCACCTCGCTCACAGGCTGACTCTGCCACTACGGGAAGATGGTAGTAAGATGATGATGATTATTATTATTATTATTATTATTATTATTATTATTATTATTATTATTATTACACATCATTTCTCCTACTCTTCTTCATTCTTTACTATATTCCAATTTTCTCCTGCATTCAAAATCTCTCCCCTCCCACCTGCATTCCTCCCCCCCTCACCCATTCCCTTACGCTCCCCGTATCTCCGTCACCCCTTCCCTCTCCTACCCTTTCCTTTACTCTTCTCTTCCCTTCCTCTCCCTCGCCCATTCCATTACTCTGCCCTTCCCTCCCGCACCTCTTCCATTACTCTGCCATTTCCTCCCTCACCCTTTCCCTTACTCTGCCCTTCCCTCCCGCACCTCTTCCATTATTCTGCCCTTCTCTCCCTCACCTTCTTCACCTCTCCCCTTCCCTTACTTACCTCGGAGGCAAGGAAGAGCTGAGGTTCTGGATGGTCAAGCTTGAAGTTGCTCAGCTTAAACTCCCGACGGAGGGTGGCCCAGCTACGTGTCCAGCACCCCATGGCCTCACCCCGGCCACCTCGCCCTCACACCCTGGCCACAGAGAGAAGGAGGAGTTAGTAAATAAGGCCACAGATGTTTCACCAGCAACAGATGGTTCAGGGAGAGAAGATGTATCACTTCTCAGAGCTGCAGGTGGTTATCAGCTGGTTAATGTGGATAAGTTACATAACTCACAGGTGGTTAAAGAGGGATCTGGTGTTTACCCTGAAGTGACCTGGAACCTGATGACCCAAAACAAGGATCTGAAACCTATCACGGTGACCTGGGACCTGGTAATGACCCGTAGCCAAACAAAGGCGCCTCCATACCCCCTCTTCACCACCTGCCACATTTTAGGGCCGATTTATCCGTCATTGGCAAAGTTTCGACAGCGATTACGTGAGTGAATCTCCACCCAGCTGTTGAATAAATCACCATCGGTCCCATGCCTCCCACCTCCCCTCCTACAAATTTCCCTCCACAAACTCCTCCCACACACACACCACTCCGCACTCTCTCCCACACACCCTTCCCACCCCCTCCTTCAGGCTCTCCCATTCTTCCCTCATCCCCGACCACCCACCTCCTTACATCAGCCTGCCCCTCTCCCGCCCTCTTTTTCCCCACACCACCTCCCTCTCCCTCCCTCCTTCTTCCTTCCTTCCCCACACCACTTTCCCTCTCCTCCTCTCTCCTTCCTTTCCCCACATAACCTCCCTACCTACCAGCTTCCCCACACCATCCCTCTCTCTCTCCCTCCTACCAGCTTCCCCACACCACCACCTCATCTCCCTCCCCTTCCCTCACCACCTCACCCCCCTCTTTCCCCCCACCTCACCGCCTCATGTCCCTCCTTCCTTTCCCTTCACCATCTCCTCTCCCTTTTTCCCTACCTTCCTTCCTTCCCCTACACCCCGCCCCCTCCTCCCCAAGCCCCTTCATCTCAACGGTCTCGAGTTGGGGGATTAAAGTTGAGTCTTATGATGCCATATGTCGTGAAGAAATCCTCAACTTGGTGCCTTAGTCAACCAAGCGGGAAGAGCGGCGCCCGGGGTCTCCCTGCACCCTCGTCGACATATAAGCGAACCAGGTCCATTAACATCCAGATTCGAATCCGGATATGATACGCGAACGCAAACAAGGATCTGATACTGTGGACGATGTCATTTTTGACGAGGGGAAGGATATATATATATATATATATATATATATATATATATATATATATATATATATATATATATATATATATATATATATATATATATATATATATATATATATATATGCTGATGACCACAAGGAAAAAATAAAAAAAAATAAGATTTGTAACCAGGTGAGAGGGTTGGGTCAGTTTTCCCTCTGACCTGAATACCGACCGCTGCGGTGCTTTTGTAAAGACTAGTAGGGTCATTACCTATACTTGACCTCTGTGGACTTGTTGTCACCCTCCTCTGTATATATAAGAACATAAGAATGGAGGAAACTGCAGCGGGCCTATTGGCCCATACTGGGCAGTCCCGTTTACACCCAACCCCTATTGCTCATATAAGCATCCAACCTGTGTTTGAAGCTATTCAGCGTATTCGAGTTAATGATGACATTTGGTAACTTGTTCCATTCATCCACTACTCTGTTTCCAAACCAGTGTTTACCCATTTCACGCCGAAATCTAACTTTGTCTAATTTAAAACCATTGTTACGAGTTTGCTCCTGGTTGGATAGTTTGAGTACCTCTCCTCACGTGTTAGTTACAAGACTAGCGAGGTCATCCTAAAACTGTATCTTGCTCTTGTGAGACCACACCTGGATTACGCAGTTCAGTTCTGGTCACCGTATTACGGAATGGATATAGAATCCTTGGAAAGAATTCAGAGGAAAATGACAAGACTAATCCCGGGCAAAAGGAACCTTGAGTATAGAGACAGGTTAAAGCATCTTAATTTGCACTCCCTCGAGAGACGTAGAGCGAGGGGCGACCTGATAGAGGTGTAGAAGTGGAAGGCAGGGCTAAACAAAGGGGACATTACAAAGGTACTCAAACTATCCAACCAGGAGCGAACTCGTAACAATGGTTTTAAATAAGACAAATTTATATTTAGGCGTGAAATAGGTAAACACTGGTTTGGAAACAGAGTAGTGGATGAATGGAACAAGTTACCAAATATCATCATTAACTCGAATCAGCTGAATAGCTTCAAACATAGGTTGGATGCTTATATGAGCAACAGGGGTTGGGTGTAAACGGGACTGCCCAGTATGGGCCAATAGGCCCGCTGCAGTTTCCTCCATTCTTATGTTCTTATGTTTAGCCCTGACTTCCACTTATACACCTCTATCAGGTCGCCCCTCGCTCTACGTCTCTCGAGGGAGTGCAAATTAAGATGCTTTAACGTGTCTCTATACTCAAGGTTCCTAATGCCCGGGATTAGTCTTGTCATTCTCCTCTGAATTCTTTCCAATGATTCAATATCCATCCTGTAATACGGTGACCAGAACTGAACTGAGTAATCCAGGTGTGGTCTCACAAGCGCAAGATACAGTTTTAGGATGACCTCGCTAGTCTTGTAACTAACAGTCCTTTGTATGAACACATTGTTTACTTGGCTTGAGGTTCCTACTTATCATTACTCCTAAATCTCTCTCGCAGTCGGATTTCTCTATGGCATTGTTGTTTATCTGGTATCTGGTTTCCCTGTTTACATCTCCTATACTGAGTACTTTACATTTGTCTACGTTGAATTTTATCTGCCATTTTTCAGACCATTCGAAAAATTTGTTTAGATCTTCCTGTAGTTTTGCAGTCCTCGTCAGATTTAATAACACGTCCTATTTTAGTGTCATCAACAAATTTACTTATGTTGCTGTCTATGCCGATATCTATGTCGTTTATGTATATAATAAATAATAATGGTCCAAGTACTGAGCCTTGGGGAACTCCACTTGTGACGTTGCTCCAATGGGACTTAAGGCCGTTAATGCTCACTCGCTGTTTCCTGTCCTGTAACCACGCCCTAATCCATTTAAGGATGTTACCTTTGATGCCATGTGCTTCTACCTTTCTAATTAGTCTTTCGTGGGGGACTCTGTCGAAGGCTTTGCTAAAGTTGAGATATACCACACCACAATTGTGCCCCTCGTCCACCGATTCGAAAACTGATGAAAAGAATGTTAATAGATTAGTTAGACAAGAACGTCCGCTTGTGAAGCCATGCTGGGAATCATTGATCAATATGTGCTTCTCCAGGTGATTTCGTATAGAGTTTGAAATGATTGCTTCCAGTACTTTGCCTACTATTGATGTTAGACTGATTGGGAGGTAGTTAGAGGATAGTGATCTATCCCCCTTCTTGAAAATCGGTATTACATTCGCTATCCTCCAGAATTCTGGTACTAAACCCGTTTTTAATGACATGCTAAACAATTTTGCTTAGGGCATACTAAGCTCTTCCTTACATTCCTTTAATACTCGGGCAAATATCTCATCGGGACGTGGTGACTTATTAGGCTTTAGTTTGTGTATTTGCTGACTAACATCATTACTAGTCACTACTATCTCGCTTAATTTGTTTGATTTGTTCTGCATTTCTATTTTAGTTTGTACTCACCCCTGAAGATGTGAATTACACGAAAGAGCTTGGGAACTTCGTGTTTTCTTTTTCCTTGTGGTTATCAGCATATACCCGAATCACGCGCACCTACAGTGATTTGTTTGTGTGTGTGTGTATATATATATATATATATATATATATATATATATATATATATATATATATATATATATATATATATATATGCACACAGACGTACAGACATACATACATCCATACACACATACATTATATTATATTAATTATAATGGTTACCTCTCGTGTATGAGGATGGCCGGCCCTAGGGCCACTTAGGCGTGGATTTAAGGTGTAGAAGCTGTCGCCAACACAACAACCACACCCTGAGTTAAAAAGCTGCATGACCCAGTGTCAAGGAATAGTCCGAGAAGACCGGACAACTCGCCAACTGCCACCCTTTACCATTACCCCAGAACACGATCCGCAAATCGATTAACATCCAGGTTCCCAATTGCTGCTGGGTAGACAGAGGCAAATGGCGTAAAGAAACTTGCCCGTAGTTTCACCCTGCCCGGGGATCGAACCTGCTGACCAGTACACCACATACATACATAAACAAAGATTAAAAAATAATCATCGTCCCAATTACCTGAACCCCAGATATGATGAATGTCTTTGTTAAACCTTCGTGTTCAAAAATTAAAACATTACGAAACTAAACAAGTGTAAGGTGTGTTTAGCAGCAGGTGTGGCCTTGTTTATGTGTATTGTTTATGTAATCCCCACAAACACCCGGGATTACTGGCCACACACACACACACACACACACACACACACACACACACACTGTACATTTCAACCACAAAATATGCAATTATAATAATAATTGATAACAATAATGGTGATATTAATGGTAATCATAAAAACAAAAATGTAATATAATAAAATCAATAATAATAATAACAATAATAATAATAGTAATATTAATAGTAACAATAATAAAAATAAATAATAGTAATAATACAAATAAAAATTAATGATATAATAATAATAATAATAATAATAATACTAATAATAATAATAATAATAATAATATCTCCCATCCCCACATACACATTAACCCCTCCCTCCCCCCACCACTCCTATCTCCCACCCCATTGTTGTATAAGGCGTCTCCCTCACTACTGTCCACCCAAATACCTCACATTTCCTCTCTCTTATCTTCTACTGCTCCTTTCCCTCAGATTTCTATCGGCATAATTCCTTCTACAAGCTATAATGATATAATTAGGATATAGAGACAATTATGGACGTAAATTAACAAATATGGTCCGAATTTTCAAAGAATCTTACGACTTTTATTTGTTTTACTTTAACTGAGGATGAAGGATGCTATTCATATCAAGAGAAAATTCTAAATTATCTGTGTAATTTGAATGCCATTTTGTGTGTTGTTGCCTCATGTGAACAAAACAGATTCAGTTTCACATCCCAAGTTATGAAGAATATTTAGTTTGTCTCAGAATCTGGACCGAAAATTGCCAGAATCATTGAAATAAGAGAAAAAACTGACTATTGATAAAAAATAAACAAATACATTATTATAACCTCCTGTGAACATTAATTTCCACATAAA